AGTCTCTGTGTGTCTGAGTCTCTGTGTCTTTGTGTCTTTGTGTCTGTGTGTCTCTGTGTCTCTGTGTCTCTGTGTCTCTGTGTCTCTGTATCTCTGTGTCTCTGTGTCTCTGTGTTTCTGTGTCTCTGTGTCTCTGTGTCTCTGTGTCTCTGTGTCTCTGTGTCTGTGTGTGTCTATGTCTGTGTCTGTGCCTGTGTCTGTGTCTGTGTCTGTGTCTGTGTCTGTGTCTGTGTCTGTGTCTGTGTCTGTGTCTGTGTCTGTGTCTGTGTCTGTGTGGGTGGGTGGGTGGGGGGGGCGGGGCCTTGGGGGGCCCCAGAGGCCAACAAAACGCAACCAGAAAGCGCCTAGAGAGCCCGAAGACGCGCCAAGAGGGACCCACGACGCCCACAGGCCGCTCCAAGACGCACAGGCCGCTCCGAGACGCACAAGATAATTCCCAAGACATTCCAAGAGGCCTCCCAGACGCCTCCTGTGACGCTCCCAGAGGCCCCCCAGGAGGGCCCCAAGAGGCAAAATTCGTTCCATTTCCGTCGGGTAACGTGTATTTTTCGCATATGTACCTCAGTGGCTTTCACAGCGTCCAAGACGACCCAAGTGGCCCCCAAGACTGCCCCACAGGCTCCCAAGAGGGCACCAAGACGCCAGAGGGGTTCCAGAGGTGCTCAACCATGTTCAAATTCCGAGCTTTCGGTCCCAGAGGCTCCCAGGAGGCCCCAAGAGGTCCCCAGGAGGCCCCAAGAGGCCCCAAGAGGCCCCAAGAGACCCCCAGGAGGCTCCCAAGAGGCCCCCAGGAGGCCCCCGGGAGGATCCCAAGAGGCTCCCAAATTGTCTCGAAAACACGCTTGAGAGGCCTCTAAGTATGTCTACATATATACACATATGTTTATGTATTTATATATGTATATATATATATATATATATATATATATATATCGATATCGATATCGGAGTAGGCCGGATTCGGGGCGGGCCGCTGCCTGTACCCCCCATGGGCGCCCCCGGGGGGTTCTTGGGGGGTCCCAGAGCTCCCGAGACGGCCCAGGCCCGGCCCTCCTGTAGAAGCTGTCTTTAGCTCCCTTCGTGCCCTGGAATCTCTGTATGGGGTGACGCAGGGCCCCAGCTAGGGTCGCGCCCGCTAGTGCCTGGGCGAGGTGGGCATTCCGGTCTTTGCACACTGCCCCTCCCAAAAGGTCCTACCCTTTGTGGGCGGAAGGGGGGAGGCGAGGCGAAGCGGCGGTCAGGGCGAGAGCGAGGGTAAGGTGAGGAGGCTCTTGTTCCTCCTGGATGATGAGGGTCAGTGCGAGGGCCTCCGCTGACAGGGGTGTCCACTGGCACGACCATCATGGCGGTCGAATTCGATGGTGGCGTGGTCCTTGGCTCGGACCTCAGCGTCTGCCGATAGCGCGATCGGCGTTAGCTGGTCACCGTGATGCTCCCTCCTCCTCCTTGGCACCCTCCTCTCCTCTGCCCTCGCTCTTCCAATGTGCCTCCTCCCTCATCCGCGGTTGCTCCCTCCGCCCCCTTCCTTTGTGTGCGTTCCCCTTCCTTCCTTCTTGCTGCCCTCCCCTCCTCAATCTCCCTCGTCGTCTCCCCCCTCCTCCTCTCCCACCCTCCCTCCCCATCCCCCTCCCTCCCCCCCTTCCTCCTCGTATCCCTCCGCCTCCTCTCCCCCCTCGTCCTCCTCCCCGCTCCCCCCTCCCTTCTCCTCGTCCTCCATTTCCTCCCACTCCCTCGTCCCGGCCTTTCTCCTCACTCCTCCCCGTGCGTCAGCAGAGGCTGAAAAGCTTCCTCGCGAATTTGCAGCGCGGCGCGTCCCGTCCAGAGAAATACACCATAGAAAATAATTTTACAAGCCGCCACACATCGAATAATAGCAATACTAATAGTAAGGAGAAGAAGAAAAGCTCAAAGGGAGGTCTTGGGAGCCCCCCATACCACATATGTATATATGTATAAAGATATATGTTCGGGAGCTCCCTGAATACGTGGTAGTTGCATTGCTCCGAAGCCGAAGTCACCCACCGCATGCCTAGCGAAACGAAGATCGAATTCGGTATCGCTAATATCGGAGGATGTCTCGGCGCATACAGCACAACGCGGTGACCCTCCAACACAAGGGCCATTCTCAGGCTTTCGGGCTGAGCTGTTAGCCACTGAAGTGTTGAAGGTTTCGTGCCACCCATTCTAGACCCCCCCTCTCATCACAAGAGGTAATGTGGTTTTGCCTGCCAGTGCCAGAGCACGTTGGCCGTAGATTCTCATGCGACGTCGCATCACGCAGATTTTGAGTCTTCCGAACGGTCTGCGGTGGCACCACTTGGAGAGCTTGGCCGTGCAATGCCGCAAGTGTCTCAATGTGGCTTGCAAGTTTACTTTCTCTCTCTCTCTCTCTCCTCCATCCTCCCTTCTCCCTCCTCCTCCTCCCTCCTCCTCCTCCTCCTCCTCCTCCCTCCTCCTCCCTCTCCTCCTCCTCCTCTCCTCCCTCCTCCTCCTCCTCCTCCTCCTCCTCCTCCTCCTCCCTCTCCTCTCCCTCCCGTCCTTCTCTTCCTCCTGCTCCTTCACTCCTTCTCCTCCTACTCCTCCTCCTCCTCCTCCCCTCGATCCATATATATATATCAATACAGGGCTCGACCGAGAATCTTTGCACCTTGAGGTGGAGGATGAGGAGGTAGGGCCTAGCTGTTTGTACTCAAACCGCCTTCTTCTGCACACCGTCCCTCGATCTTTCTCCCATCCTCCCTCCGTCTGCTCGTCCTCTCTCGATCCTTCCCTGGATCCTTCCCTCGATCCTTCTCCTCGATCCTTCTCCTCGATCCTTCCCTCGATCCTTCTCCCCTCATCCCTTCTTCTTCCCCTCCGGCTGCTCCTCCTCGGCTTTGGCTTCGTTCCCGGCCTCCTCCCCTCCGTCGCCTCCCGTAGCTTCTTCCCCCCTTCAATCAGGAGGAAAAAAAACACACAGACACAAGTAATCGTCCACTCCCAGGAAAATCTAGGAAAATATGGGAAGTGGTGGGGAAGACAAAACTCCAAAAAGTATAGGAAAATATTGGGAATTCTGTTATTTGTGTGTATTTATTTGTGTGTCCTTGGGTTCCTTGAAAGCCCTCATCATCAGATTTCCCCTCCTTGCCGAATGATTGCATGGACAGGAGAGTTTGTGAGGTGCTCCACCTCTTTCGTCTCTCTCGCTCGGCAACGACGGCGAGCATGCCGCCACTGTTTTGACACCAGCCGTTGGCGTCGAGCCAGGTCCCTACACTATCCGTCTCGCACACTCTTTGCCGACGTTGAGGTGCATGGGGAGGCCCCCAAAGCGGCTGGCGTTGCACTGCTCCCGGGGCGCCATGCGACGCTTCTTTGACCGACCTGGAGCGGTTGCAGGACCATCCGATCCCGCTCGCCACCGTCGGCTCGTGTTCGCACGCTGGCCTGCTTCTGCGGAACGGCACCGCCGGTTGCTTCGGATGCAACTCCTGGGAAGTCAAATTCTGGCTTTGCCCTGGTCCGACACCCGGCTTCACCCAGCTTGCTCTTGCTGAATTCGGAATGGTCCCGATTCATCCGGCTTGATCGCGCGGCCTAATCCGGCGTAGCAGTCCACCAATGGGGTTTAATATTCCTTAATATTTCAGACGAAGACCTCCCAGTAGTTGCCTCCTAAGCTTGCGAGATGGTGGGTGGGCGTATCGGTTCCATGATTGTAACGCTGCGCCTCCTGGCCGGCTTTCCCAGGGGACTACCGACCAGCCCCGACGGGGTAAAGCCTCACCGCTTTGGCTCGCCGCCCCAGGAATCGGGTTTCCGTGCAGTGGTGGCGTGGCGATTCGGCCGCAGAGATTGGGGAAAGACATAATCCTCTTCTTTCTCCTCCTCAACCTCCTTCTCGTCGTCGTCCTCCTCCACCACTTCCTCCTTCTCCTCCTCCACAGTGTCACAGGGCGAATGCTACTCTCATCTCTCCCCTGGCCCTGTCCCGAAGACTTCGCACCCCCGCCCTGCCCGTTTTTTTTTTGCTTGCGCACAGGATTGGGCCGAGCTCCTTTTGTCCTAGGCGCTTCTGCAATACGACCGTTTCTGGTGATTCAACAATGGTGTGCCCGCTGAAGCGTGGGCCCAATTTTCGGATCGTCAAGCAGTGGCGAAGCGCCCTGGCTCGCCTACAGCCCCACCAAACAATGTTCTAAGAACCCTTTGTAGCTTCCACGAAATATTCTTAGAACATTTCTGGCGGAGCCTGTTCTAAGAACATTGTTGTTGTTCTTAGAACAGCTTTGGGTTCTAAGAACATTTCGTGGTAGGACTATAGGAGTGTCGGGACGGTCGGTCCCTGCTCAAGGATCGACGCTGTGTCCCCGTCGTTCAGAATGGTGCTCTCGCCCCAGCGCGGGCAACGTTTCTGGATCTGAGTCTTTCTGCATCGTCGGCGCCACCCCTCTGTTCCCCTCCGCCTTCCCCTGGTCCTCCCGCCCTGTCCCTCCCACTCCTTCCACTGGTTTCTGCTGCTGCTGTTCTCCTCGTCCTCCTTCCTCCTTCCTCCTCCTCCTCCTCCTCCTTCCTCCTTTTCATCTGCTCATCATCCTGCCCACCCGCCACCTCCTCCTCATCCTCATCCTCCTTTCCTTTTCCTCCTCCTCCTCCTCTTTCTCCTCCTCCTCCTCCTCTCCTCCTCCTCCTCCTCCTCCTCCTCCCCTCCTCCTCCTCATCCTCCTCCTCCTCTCCTCCTCCTCCTTTCCTCCTCCTCCTCCTCCTCCTCCTCCTCCTCCTCCCATGTACGAAGCTCCCCTTTTCCGATTGTGCACAACACGATGGGGTCTGTTTTGGAGTTCCAGATCGACGATGACACGCGTCCGCCGATTGAGAAACAATCAGCGCAACGGGAAGGAATGGGATGGAGGGATCGGGTTTCGGATATGGCGTGAGCGCATCTAGCTTGTCCTCCTCTTCTCTCCTCCCTCCTCTCTCCTCCTCTCTCCTCTCTCCTCCTCCTCCTCCTCCTCCTC